ACCCAAAAATTTAAAGATTAATAATTTTACAATTTGAAACTTCTCTCTAAATAAATAATATACACAAATTAAGTACAAAGAGAGAATTAGGCTAACACTTAAATGAATAGCAATGAATGAAGTTCAAATATTAGATGAGAAAACTTTGATAAAAAGATGATTTTCAAAAGTTAATTCAATCAATCAAAAGTGTTCAAAATAATTTTTTGAAAAATTAAATAAAATGTAAGCTCAAAGAGTTTTGTTCAAATATTTCTCACTTTAATACTCTTGAAAAATATTGTAATGAATGCAAGAAGTAGATGTATTTTTATAGTTCAAAACGTCAAAAAATCTATAAGTTCGGATGACTTGTCCGGTTGACCATTTTTTGTCTGGATGACCATTATAACAGTTTGTTCAGTAAAAATTAGATATCAGAACGGTCAAATTTTGAATCGTTGGAAACTTCCACTTGACTGTCTCTTTTAGATGGTCGACCGCCTCTTCCGGCCGATCAACTACTTGCAGTTTCGATCTTTTTACATTTTGGTCTCGTTTGATCTGATTTGAAAGTTTTGAAAGACATTGACTTTTGGAAATTATTTTTAACTAAATTTTCATGATAAAAGATATTTTTCAAATTCAAATATCATTTTAAAGGTCATTTTTATATTTGATCAAAATATTGCATTAAAATGACTTTTAATGTATAGAAGAATTTTAAGTTCATGCATTCATTGCCAAATATTAAGTGTTAGTACCTTTACACTTTATCTAAGAAATCAAGTCTATGATCTTGTTTTGAAATTTAGCTCTTAAGTTCTTGAATGTGTGACATCTTGACATCCTTCATGAGTCCAATTTATGATGATAACTTTTGATTTTTTGACGACCATCGATCAATTTTCTATCGTATGCTTTGAAAAGTTATAATCACTTGAATTCAACTTGTTAATAAACAAGATTAATTTGTTTGTTTATTAATGAATTTAAGTTAATTATTGGATTAATTAAGCAAATTTAATTAATTGAATAATGGACCCGACTTATGTTTAATGAGTGGGTCAAACTCACTTAAACTTCTATTAATAAACTGTTAGGTTTTGAGGAATCATAACATGTCTTATAATATTATAATCTTGCAAGCACAAGAAAGATAAATCATGTCTAATCACAATTTCTATCGAAACACAAAGACGATCTTTGAAGGGAATTGAAAATAAATTTCACTGTGCTTGTATATATATATTCCCAACAGTGGCATTAGATTCGACTTTGTATTTGTTAGATTTTGCTTTTGAATATTGAAACAATCAATGGTCAATTGTTGACATTTCTAGTTTCTAGTTTTAAGAAAAATTGGTTTTCATCTTTTGAAATTTGTTTTTGAAAAGAAAATTAAAGTTTGGGTAAAAAAAAAAGGTTGAGAAGTTGCGGATGCACACAGACCCAAATATGCGAATTTAATCAATAACAAAAAATATAAATAAGTAATAGCTTTGATGGAGAAATCCCTATTAAAGATAGACTAGCACGTGTGGCATTTAGCTGATCTCACAAGCAAACGTATAGTTAAATTTAAATGGACGCGTGACTGTTTTGTTAAGAGAACAAAATATTGGAGACCCACTGGAGAGATTCCACATGTATCACTATCTGAACATTAATGGTTAATCTCTAATGTTCGAAGTAGAATTGATATTTTGTTTTGAGGTTATCATAGTGCCTTATATGAGGATTGTATACTTTGATGATATCGGATGTTGGTTTGCCAATAGTCACTAATGTGGCATCATTCAAGTGTATTAAGAATCATATGAAGATAGTGAATGATTAATAGATGATTCGTGACTTTTAGATAGTAAGAGATTATAATCTATATTTCATTCAATTAAGTTGATATCAAAATCCTTGGCTAAGGTAAATATGTAAGTCGAAAGAATTAAAACAATTATTGATTTAAGAGTGAAATAAAAGATATAATTGATAATCTAGATTGACACACTTTCATATCTCGTAATTGATCGGATCATACCGACGAAGGGATTATAGTTTCACGGTAAATGGACAAGTTTGATTTTGTCACACCGCATAACATTTTCCATTACATGTATTGATATAATACATTACTAGATGTCAATTTGGGACGACGTATGTGAATTAATTAATTTAGGTGAATTAATGATGAATTTAAAGGAAATTTTAATTTATCTTGTTTTGATTAGATCAAAAAAATAATTCACGTCATTCGACATTGTGTTATAGAACCTAATGGTTTACACACAAAAGGAAGATTTAGAAGAATGATATTATAAATTAATTAATTGACAAGTGTTGTACATTTGTACAATTAATTAAATGGATACAATTAATTAAATGGATTGTTTATTAATGGACTTAAGTTAAGTGATTGGATTAATTAACTTATGGGCCGAGTTTAATTAATTGAATTAATTAATAGACCGACTTATATTTAATGGGTGGGTCAAGCCTACTTAAAATTTTATTATTAAGCAGTTATGGTTTGAAAAATCATCACACACATCACATTAATAAGCAGATATTAGACACTAATGATCTCTTGGGCATAGCATGTAGAAGGATTCACAGTAAAATTCAAGTTTTGAAGAACAATTTCATTGTTCCAAAGAAC